AATGGTATGTGTGACCGCTTATACATTTCATTTGACGCAAGATCTTCATTAACTTTCTGCAAGGCGTCTGCTTATTAGTTGACTTATACATTTTATGAATAATCAGCAATACAAATTTGCCAAAAGGTATAAGAAGATTTCTTTCCGTGTATATAATAACCTGGATGGCGAAAGCTATCAGCAGCTAAATACAGAATTATCATTTTCATATTATTGTTTTTTTTTTTTTTTTTAATATTCTTCTTGGACGAAATGATTTATATATAGTATCCTTCAGCTTACTCACCGGATGAGTCTCAATTTCGTCTGATGCATTAGGTTGTCAAAATCTGAGCAAACGAGAAATGTCAAACTGAGTAAAAGCCACTCAGTCAGCCAAATCCAGGACTTGTAAAAAAAGCCAGTCGTGCCGGAGCAAACGCTCTAAGAAACGGCAAAATTATTGTACATATAGTATAAATTCTGAGTAAGTAGTGAACATAATAAAACACCCTATTGAGATTCTATTGAATAATACCGGCCTAGATTTGATGCAACATTATTTAAAATAAAGTTAATGCATTTTCATTTGAAATGCAAATTTTCTTGAAAGTTAACCTTTGCGTCTCTGCCGTATTTTTCTGTTGTAGTTAATTTGGCTCTAGTTTTTCTCAATTTTTTACCGATTCATACCAAACACCGTGCACATAATCGAGAAATTACCTGAGTTTCATAAGTCACACTTGTTGGTCAAGCGGCGCCGTTGGTGTAGTGGTAAGCGTGATTGCCTCTCACCCCAGCAGGCCTGGGTTCAATTCCAGTCGGCGCAGCCGGGATGTTCTGAGGCATAACATCTCTGATCATCATCAGGGAAGTAAAGCCGTTGGTCCCCGGTTCATGATGAGTTGATGGGTTGATATTTAGGATCCAGGTGTGGGAGCTGCCTCCCTGGCGTCGGTAGCATTGGTGCTCAGCACGGAAAACAAGATCGACGGAAAACAAATCAAGGAAAAAACACTTGTTGGCCACGTCGCGGTTGTGTATTTACACGAATTTTCCTTGGGTTCTGTCCAATGGTGAGACATTTTCATGTTTTTTTTTAATTCTAACATGACCCTAGCACTTTTTGTTATCAACTCATAACCGAATCGTATATATGAGACTTTGTGGATCATGCACTAATAAGTCGTGCATGATCCACAAAGTCACATATATGTACATATGTATACCTATAATTTCCACAGGAAATTATAGGTTTTCCAAATCGTTCAGGACATCAGATGATTTGTTCTGCTAGATCAACCAAGACTGCAATAATGTTTGTAGTATCGAAAAATGTCCAATCAGATTCAAAGTGTCTATGTGGATCATGCATGAACTATTGTCATGTATACCTGATATTTTAAGTTCTCCAAATTGTTCTGAAGTTCAGATGATTTATTCTACTACCTGGCTAGGATAAAGTCTTTAGTATCGAAATACCATGACTGGGATAAAGTCTGTAGTATCGAAATATGTACAAACAGATTCATAGTTTATATGGATAATGTTTAATTATTTCCACGTATACCAGATGATCTAGGTTCTCCAAATCGTCCTCCAGTTCAGATGATTTGTTTTACTAGATCAACAAAGACTGGGATAATATCTGTAGTATCGAAATATCGATTTGGAAATCCTAGAATATTTGGCATACACGGAAATAGGTTGGCATGATCCACATAGACACTGCAAATTTGTTTGGGCATATTTCGATACTATAGACATTGAATTAGTCTTGGGTGATTTAGTAGAAAAATAATCTGATCTCCAGAATGATTTCAGAACCTATAACATCTTGTATACGTAGCAGACACATAGACACTTTGAATCTGTTTGGACATATTTCGATACTACAGACATTATTGCAGTCCTGGTTGATATAGTAGAACAAATCAACTGAACTCCAGGACGATTTAGAGAACCGAGAATATCCGGTATACGGTATACGGTTATGTTCATATTGAAAATAAAAAAAACATGAAAATGTCTCATATTGAATTGAGATCATTTCTCGATTATTTGCAGGGTGTTTGGTTTGAACCGGTAAAAAATTGAGAGCCAAATGAACAACCAAATTGATGACAGCAAAATAAGGGGACGGAAAGGTTACAATAAATTTTACAATTTTTGTGACAGCACATCAGTCCCTTTGCGATTTTCGCGACATCATTTAATGTTTCCGCGATTTTCGCGAATGAAAGTTCAAATCCGCGATATTCGCGAAATCCCCGCCTGTTGTAACAACCCTGAAAATTGTTTATAATCCCTGCTAAAACATTAACTGAAATGGTTGTGGATCTTTAATGAACGTTTGTGTCGAGTTTGTGTGATAACGTTTTATCCATATGTATTATGGTTTTTACAAATAATGGGTTGTTAAGAACCATTACCATTCAAAATAGTAGTCAAAACCTTACTGACTACCACCACTACAATTAAAATTCTCAAACCATAAGTAAAAGGTTCTAATATAGTTCTTATTTTCGAAAATATATGCAGAAAACAACTATTTTGAATGGTAATGATTCTTAAAACCCCATTATTTGTAAGGTTCACAAAAAAAAAAAAAAAAACATAATACATAAGGTTAAAACTTTATCACACAAATGTTCATGTATAGTTCCACAACCATTTCAGTTAAAGTTTAACAGGGATTATAAACAATTTTTAACCATTTGCGGTAAGTTCAAGCAATGGTTCGCATTTATTCGGGTTGAACCTGATGATTTTAACAATCAAATAAACTAACAAATGAACTAGCTGACCCATCTTGCCCCACCTTACCCTATTAAGGCAAGTAGGAATTGCATGAGGAGACGGTTTTCAGTTGTCTTCCAGTTAAATGAATCTGGAGCAGGTAATTTCAATTTTTTATCAAAGCAAATAAAACAAACTTCCCGGCTGGTTAACTCCATAGGCACGTTTACCTACTCAAATTTGAGTAGAAACATTTTTACCTATTTTTGGGTAACTTCCCTTTTGGCTGAACTGAGTGATTTTTGACTCAAAAATGAGTAGCCTCAAAATAGCGTGCACCTTTGGGCCAATTATAACATCGGAAATTAAAACAACGACAATCGTTCAATCGCGAAGGTGAGCACGCTGTGGCTGTTTGCTGAAGATGATGTTTTCTTATGTTTAACAAATAACGGTTTAGTAAAGCAATCAAAAATGTACATACATACGATTAGATAAAATTGATTATCTGTTCCATCCACATACGGACGAGACATCTGACATCTTAAAAATAGGCCAAAATCATTATTGCGCATTTTGCACCAAAGTAGACTACTAGATTTTTCTTTTTGCTCAGGTCAAAAAACAAATAAAAATTATAAATTTCAAAATTTCTATCACCACTAGAATCAATATGACTCAATATGATATCCTATTGTAAAATATATTATTGAGAATGGTCAATTTTTATGATCACTTTCATGAGCGAAACAAAAGCTGAGGGATTATTTTCAGCGCAGGAGTCTACTTTGTTGCAAAATGCGCAATACCGCTTCCAAATATTTAAAGTTCTAGCGTATTCAATATTTTTTATTTGATCAGTTAATCAGTTGACAGTTCGAAAACACTATTTTAAAAATCATTTAAAATTTGTTAATAAGCTTTTTGTCGCATCCGCACCAAAAGCAAATTCTGCGTCAGCTGTAACAATCCTGGAATTTTGAATTCAGTACCTTGTCGAGAGGATGTCGAAGCTCATGGATGGTTTGCATAAAACTGCCTTATGTCCCCGATAACGATATGCTTCTATTGAACGGTAGTCAAATAGAAACGAGGGACTGTAGCTTCTCAGGATCAAGTCGGATACCATTATGATCACCGATATGTCCTAAGTAGCGAATTATGTTGGTTGATAGTGACAAGATTTGCTCCGGGTTAACTGTTGTTGCTGTTGGAATAGCCAAACGTTGGAGAAGCTCCACAATCTACAGCATCTCTTCTTTTAGTTCCGGTGAGTTCGTCGCCCCATTTCAAAACGGTTCGATTTCTATAGCCTTTTGAAAATAACAGAAAATATCCTCGCACCAAAGAAAGCGTTAATCCACAAAATTCCGGAAGTAAGGAAAATCATGACTCGACCGGTCTTTTTTACTGAATTAAACGTGTATCTAGTAGGTATCATCGGTTACACTACCAATAAAAAAGCAATAATTATTGGTTTTCGACTGGATTCGATTAATTAATTTCTGCGATCTAATAATTTTGCTTTGTAGGTACACATTTTCCTAATATGTCAATAGAATCTCCAATCTGGCCTCATGGGAACAAAATTTTATTATTGCACTAGCCTTTTTATTTAAATTTTCTAGTGCATATTGAACCTATTTGAACTCTATATTTAAATATGAAAAACCCACGAATAGCCACTTCAAATATGTATAATTTTAACGGAATGATTAAAATGAGAAAAAGAAACGCATCTAAGACAGAACTAAACTTGCCTATGGTGTTAAACGCAAACACGGGACAAATATAGTCAAGTTAAAAATTAATGTTAGGAAAACAAAGAAAAATATTACTTACCGAAACATTTAATATTTAGCAATAGAAGCTACATGTTTGCCTTAGATAATATCATATTATGTTCAATTCACTAATGAGTTTTCGCATAGATGACACCAGCGGTAGAAAGATCTATTCGAAACGTTAATGGCATTCAATTCCAATGCGAAACAGTGGCGCAGTCGAGGGGGAATGACAGAAACTACAGGGGAAAAAGTAGGTACAGCGAAAAGCTTCTCATCCTCCTTAGGCACCAAGTAAATGAATGCTGAGGAAGTTTCACGACTTCCTTTTTTCCTGTCCTTCCAACTCACAATTATACGCACATTTCTCTAGCTTATTGCGATTCCCTTCCCGGAAGCCGGCTCTCGATCCTGCCAGACGACTCCGGTAGCCCAAGGTTCCCGAACCAGAATCCTTGCACGAAAATCGATCTTTCATTCATGGTGTCAAAAAATTACCATTCACATCCTCTCCATACTGATTGCGATTGCGAGATTGGTATCCGAGGGGCGCAGAAACGAAAACACACTCTTCGGGATTCGGACACGGCTAATCCTCAGACTCCCTTTTCTTCGCAATCTAGCTGGGACTATCCCAAACGATGAAAATATCCACTTTTCCTGGCAGAATTGACCACGTAGTATCACTTGTTTCAGTTCCTTTGCAGATTGTAAAAATGCTTTCTAGTTTTGCTTCGCACTTTGCCTTTTTTGACGGGCAACCGCGGCTGCTGTACGACGGATAAACTATTCTCTCGTCTCTTCTTTTGTTCAATATGGCGTTCCCTTTTTCGGACCGCAACGACACAACACACGCACACTGATTCCGAAATCCGACAAGAACACTAACACCAACGGTTCGAGCCGTTCGAGCCGCACTGACAGCGCTTATTCTAGCTGTCAAAAATATGCAACTTTATCGTCTGACTTTGCTTGAAAGAGAAACTGTTTTTCATCACTTTTTCGTGATAATAACAACTGTATTCTCTTTTTTTCTGTAAGAAATATCTTTTTCACTTAATTTAAAGTCTACAAGTGGTCCTCGAAGCTGTCCGCAGTTCAAATTTTCCAACAAAACACGATTTTTCACTGACCTATCATCGAACTGCTGCAACCCAAAATGGGAATTTGAGACTGTGTTGTTGCACCTGTAAATCGTTAAAACAGTGACACAGTCGGTAAAGAAGGTGGATGCTTCACCCCACAGAAAAAAAAACAATTCATATGGGGTTTAACTAAGCCCAAGGTATAAATAAAGGAGGTAGCCTATGGGAAAATTCTCGTAGTTAGGTAGGTTTTTCAATTCAAACAAAACACACCCCCAAAGGGGTATCCCGACCAACCGTTTGTGAAACTTCTTCAAAGTTATTTATACAGAAATAAAGATTTAGGGGAAATGTCTCTAATGTTGGCCTGTGGATCTAAGATTGGGCCCATCGCTAAAAAATTGCTATTGATCAATTTTATCTAGATGAACGCGTCATTGGGGCGTACTAATGGACATTTTCGGTTGCTATTGAAAATTTAGTCGATTGCTGAATTTATGTATGGGCCCAAATTAGGAACACTTAGGCCGACATTACCTGCATTTCCCCTATGTCGTCAATTCTTTACTTTAAATTTTCTATGATTTCGATTTACATATTTAAAAATCTTTATTGATCGTTACTTACATTTAAGATTATTTCTTCATCGGTCATACACGGATAGAAATCTCCTTAAACCTTTTGGCAAATTTCTATTACAGCTTATTCATAAAATGTATAAGTCAACTAATAAGCAGACGCCTTGCAAAAAGTTAATGAAGCTCATGTGTCAAATGAAATGTATAAGCGGTCACACATATCTTTAATGCATTCTTTAGGACCTATGTAGTTTGTCTTATGGAATGTATAAGGCTTATGTTGTGGCAAAAATGTATAAGTGAAACACATGAATAAAATAATTGATTTTCGTTTCGTGTATGATAGTAATCTATAAAGGTGCCATACTAAATTTCTTTTAATTTAGATATGTCACATGGACTTTGGTATTCTTTACAAATATTCATCAATAAATATTTAAATACTGATATCATCGTAACTTTGACAAAGAACAACAAAGATTGCCATCGATGCACATTTATAATCTCCTTATTATCGATTTGCATCGCTGGTTAAAGCTCGGGTTAAAGAGAGATCGAGACACAACAGGTGACAGATGGCAATGTTTATATTATTTATCTACATATTCGGCATTTCATCCCCTAATAAAAATAACCATAAAAAAAAGCTTAACGACGTATTCGGGGTATCATTCAAACCATTTTTGGGATAGTTTACCCATCCGGGATACAGTTCATTTATGGTATTTGTTTATTAGGGTCGGAAGAAGCAATCTGCCGGTAAATGAACGAGAAGACCGATGGCCGATGAAAAAACCGATTTGTACCTTCCTTAAAAGTTGTCCTAGCTCGCTATCTACTATCTATATGCAATTTTCACACTGCCGTACTCTAACGGAACTATCTACTCTATACTTTCATCTCCTTCATATATCGTATAAAAAATTACCACTTTAGTCTATTATTTGAAATTAGCATCTTCAACTATGAAAAGCATGTTTAAAATAAACATATTTATTTTTGATCACATAGTTTTAAAATCAAACAATTTATTTTCAACACGATTTTTTTTTTAAATAAAGGTAACACTATTTTTGTTTTATACATTATTATCAACTCGATTCCCTAATATACAAATACCATAAATGAACTGTATCTCGGATGGGTAAACTATCCCACAAATGGTTTGAATGATACCCCGAATACGCCGTTAAGCTTTTTTATGGTTATTTTTATTAGGGTTATCAATGGATTCAAACATGGAATACGTTTGAAATCAACCTAGTTTATGTTTGTGGTCAAAACAAACTGAGTTTACGTTTAAATTTACCTCAAATATGTTTGTTATGATCTGAGTACTGCGAACTAACTCAAAATGCTTGTTATCTGGGAGCCGAGACAAACTGTCAAACGGGAGCCAAACATTCAAAAGAGCTCAGAAGTCACCTAGGTAGTTACTGTTTGAACCACAAGTAAAGGTGTTGCCACCTACTGAAAACAAATTAAGAATTATAATTATGAAACTGTCGAAACATCAACCTTAGTAGGCGGATAATGTAAATCATCAAGCGTGATGCTCGAAAAAGTGTTTTTATTTGATATTAATAATGCCAAAACTGGGTTGCTGAAACAAGAATGTAATCAAACTTTATAAGAGTCATGTGAGCTTTGTGGGCAGGTGCACTCCCATCACCATGTATACGTTATTTCAGGAGCAGAGGAGGAGGAGCCAAGAGTTCATTTGACAGCATGTAAATACAATTTCGTGAGCTGTTTCAGCAAAACAATTAGAAACTTCGGAAGATTTTCAAGATGTTTTCTAGCTCACTTGAAAAATAAAATCGGCTGAGTTCGCTGTACTAAGGTTATGACGGTAAATTTTTCTGCGGCAAACGGCAATTTTCCCCAATCGATGATGAAAAAAAACCATCGAAATTTCAAACTTACTTTTCTCCGAGGCATTATGCGACATTGGCCCTAATGAACGCTCAGTGTCGAATTTTTATCAGATTTTTAACTTCATAGTACTATGAAAAACGGGACCGGTTTTAGCCTCTAATTTCCGAAAACACGATCAAAACAAACCATTCTTGACGTTTTCCTCATCCAAGTCATCGGAGTCACTTTCAAAATTTTCAACTTAGCGCCAAAACGGCATGTAAAGTCGTGTTTTTGCTTCATGAAGCAGCATTTTCCAATTTATTTGTTCAGAAGTTATGTCAGCAGATCATTTGCTAGTCTAAATAAAATGTTCACATCGCAAAAAAGAGGAGCTCTAATTGTTTTGGAAGGATGCGACCGAGCTGGCAAAACGACACAATGTAAGAGGATAGGTGAGTTTCATCGTTCGATGCAGAGAGAACTAAAGGTTTATAAACTGATATTTTCACTCTACAGTGGAATCCTTGACTAATTCCGGTCATAAACTCAAGTTCATGAACTTCCCGGATAGATCGACTCAGTGTGGAGCCTTGATCAACTCCTATCTAACCAACAAAGATAATTTCACTGATGAAGGAATACATCTGCTCTTCACTCTCAACCGATGGGAAGCTAAAATAGAAATGGAACGTTTGCTTCAAAGTGGAATTTCTCTGGTCGTCGATCGGTACTCGTATTCCGGCGTGGCATTCAGCTCTGCTAAAGGTTTGGATATGGAGTGGTGCAAAAGTCCGGAAAGTGGCCTTCTCAAGCCAGACCTCGTTCTGTTGCTTACGCTAACGGCGGAAGCGATGTCCAAACGGGGTGGATTTGGTGAGGAACGGTATGAAGTTCCCGAATTGCAGAAAAAAGTAATGGAGAAGTTTCTTGCTCTAAAAGACGACCGTTACTGGAAGGTGGTCGACGCTGACAAAAGTCAAGATGCACTAACTGTGGAACTTTGCGAGTTGGTACTGGATTCGATAGAATCATGCGGCCATAAGCCTTTGGGGAAACTATGGTGATAGCATGATAATTACAGCATTTTATTCTGTACCTAAATGTATTTAACATAGTAGATTCTTTCTTGGTAAAAAAAAAAGCTCAATATATTTTCCTAATTCTTTTTTTAACTGAGTGTTTTATTTCGGAGTAAGCATGTTATTATAAATAAAACAGTACACACTTAATGACGGCTTCCTGATCGGGATTTTTTTTTACAGTTTTCTAACTGTAAATCACACAAACATACCGAAAAAAAAACGACTGAGCATGCATAAGGGCCTATACGCGATGATCGATTCTCTTCGTCGATTTTCTCTTTTGTTAATAACTCGCTAGATTTAACGTTTCTCGGTGCTTTTGCTGTTGCTTTTGATAGCCAATACAACCTGTTACTACTCTGCATTGAACAAATTCTAGAAAATTGTTTCGCTTAGCTGTAGAAATGCAAAGAGAAAATCGATCATCGCGTATTCGCCCTTATGCATGCTCACTGTCGAATATATTCATTAGATTTTTCGACTAACTACTGAATACTTTAATTACATTTTGCACCGTCGGGCTAACGTCAATCGGATGACAGTTCAGTCGTTCAGTGGTACTGTTTACGTGGACTTAATCAATTTTTTCTTGGGTAGATTTTCTCGGTAATTTTTCAGACTGCAGTGAGATGTAAACCATACTTCTACGTGAAAGGATGTTACTCGCGGACATTGCAGAAGGCTTGCGCCGGTGGTGTAGTGGTAAGCGTGACTGCTTTCTCACCCCAATGGGTCTGTGTTCAATCCCAGCCGAGGCATAACAATCTCTGGTCACGTCTTCCTTCGGAAGGGAAGTAAAGCCGTTGGTCCCGGCCCCCATGTGTGTTGAATGGGTGCGATATCCTACGCAGGTGTGGAAGTTGCCTTCCTGCGCATTCGATTGCCGTCAATGGATGGCAATCAATGTCCGTCGTTGATTGGCACTAGATTGCGGAACAGAGACCGAATGAAGAAGAAGAAGACATTGCAGAAGTGTGGTTTGCATCCCCGCATAAACAAAAACCATCTCTCTTAACCTTACCGAAACTGGTTAAAAATTCTTTATAATCACTGCTAAACATTAATTGAAATGGTTATAGAACTTAACATAAACGTTTGTGTGATAAAGTTTTATGTTTTAACCTTAAATATAATGGTTCTTTGGAAGTGAACCTTACAAATAATGGGTTGTTAAGAACCATTACTATTCACATTAGTTGGACAAATGTTGTCCCAAGTTGCTAAATATCGGAAATCTTATGGACAGTTCCAGCTGGATTACTGTTGAAGATAGTAATTAAATATTATTGTTATTATTGAAAATTGGCAGATATTCATATATGGGATCATATTTAAATGGCGTAGAATTTGGGGGGGGGGGGGGGGGGGAGGCGAAGCACTGCAAAATTTGTAACCGATCGTATTAATATCAGGTATGAAAAAATACCACAAACGAAGTGACAGACGACTAACTGGCGAAGAAATCAATTAAAATAATGTGGTTCGCTGTAATAGAATTTTCTTAGGAGCTTGTGCCATCATCCACCAGATGGGATAGTATTTTGTTTTGGTTTTGCTCAAAGTTGATTTGGTGTACAATGATTCTTTGACAGTGTGCAAAGCACAAACTAAGTGACAGACGGAGCGGTTCGAAAACTTTGGTGACTAACCTGCTATTGCAATTTTTCAGTGTACCACATGGCAACACCACTTCTACTGGATTGTACCAACAATCAATACGAAACTAACGATTTTAAATTGGCTCACCACTTTAGTAGCCTATTGGTCCCAAGCAAACGATTAACGTACCTGTGTGACTTACCTCGTTGAGAGATGGTCCGAAAGTGAGGAGTTGTCCGTGCGTGTTCATTGAAGCGTTGCCATCGAGCTCGCCGTATAACCAACAATCAATACGAAACTAACGATTTTAAATTGGCTCACCACTTTAGTAGCCTATTGGTCCCAAGCAAACGATTAACGTACCCTATTCTAGTTGAAATTCTATTACTACACTATGTTTGTTTTGATTCGCTATGAAAGTTTGACAGATAACATCAGGGGTGTGTGGATTCATGCAGAACATGCAGGGGTGAGTGAAATAGCTTGGGACTGCTTGGGACCGTTGTTCTGGTACTGGGTGAGCCAAAAATAATAATGATTTTCTTCGGGACTCAGTGGTCTTAGAGTTACCTCTATGGTATAACGGCATTGAACTGTAACGGCGCTGACATCGACGAGCTGGACGCACGGCTTGCTGACTAGTTAAGCGTCAAGTTAAGACCCGCTTACACTAGCTCTAACATATGCCACACATCTCCCTCTCTCCTCAAAAAAAAGAATTTTACTCGGTTCTGTTTTTCTTTACTGTAAGTAGCGTTTTCAGTACGTTCTTATCCTTTTTTTTTTGTACATGAATTGTCATTTTGAAGCAATGAACAAAGAGGAGGGAAGAACCCTATCTGAAATTTTATGGCAGATGCCTACTTTACAGCAGAACGCGTTTTCGTGGTGTAATCAGTCCACCTTACGCGGGGTGGTGTAATTCAGGGTGGTGTAATGTGCTAGGACCGCAAGCGTGGGCTTCTGTCACTGCCAGCGTTGCCAGTATTCCAGATTTATCTGGATTTTCCAGATTTTTAGTCGTCTTGCCAGATACACAGACAGACCACGCATGTTTCCAGATTTTTTAAATATGTTCCAGATTTTCCCAGATTTTTTAACATGCTGTTTTATATCACTGTAGAATTATGACGAAATTTGATCTTGCTGTTGAAATCTAAACATGATACTTTAATTATTGAAGGCCATCAACGTTGGACATTATTTGAAGTTTAAGGTAATTCTGAAAATAGTTCACTTCACAGTGATGTGTGAGACAAATTTCTTGTGAAATCAAAGGAGAACTTCAAGCTAATTCTGATTAGAGTTCCATCCATCTTTGTGGGCTTGGTGGTCGTGCGGCGTCACCCCTCGTTCAGGCGTATTGTGAGTGCCACGAAGTGAGGGTTCGATTCCCGCTCCAGCCGGTGCAAATTTTGGCAACCTGAAAATTTCCATACTGGTCTACTGGGTGTGGTGTGTTGCCCGTTGTCTAGTGTTAAATATTCAGGTTCTGGTTGAAAACGGTGTCAATTGTCTTGTCAACTCTGATGACAATTACTTGGAGTTTTTGTGAATGTAGGGGAAATGGATGTAATGTCGACCTAAATGTCCCTAATTTGAGCCCATACATAAATTCAGCAATCGACTTAATTTTCAATAGCGACGTTCATCGTCCCAATGACACGTTCATCTAGATAAAATAGCAGATTTTTAGCGATGGGCCCAATCTTAGATCCATAGACCAACATTAGAGCCATTTCCCCTACAATCCGGAAGAGAAATCATAGAAATTTTTTATGATGAAACTTAAGGAGTATGCTGATACGAAACGTGAGAATAATTTCAATGGAATTCTATCCAATGTTTCTATGGAGATTCATTTTAATTAAATTTAAGACATTTTAACGTAATTATGCGCAATTTCTGGGAGACTTTCAAGGCCATTTTGGCAAAGTGATTGAGTACTTAGGAAATGCTGAAGAGGATTTCAAAATAATTCTAACATTACCTAAAAAGCAGTTCAAAGGTAATAATCGGATAAGTCTGAGAAGAGTGTGGCGGTCATTCTGAAGAGTGCACCACGGAAATTATTACCAGTGTGAGGGAATTGTGAAATTGGAAAGTAATTTATAAGAGATTACAATAGGTAATGCTATGAACTCTTAGAAAGTTACTGGAAAAGTTTGGATATTATCATGATTATTTTAGGGAAATCCAGAAAATAAGTATGATGACATTCTAGGATCATTCCAATGGAACTCCAAAAAAGGGGCGTAGATATCCAGTGAAGAGTTCCAAGAAAATTCAGACTAACAAAAAATTTCAAGATCTGGGACCCAGGAAAACTAGAAATTCTGGAATTTATAATCATTTCAAGATCCTAGGACTTCAAAAATGACGCTATCAGACTTTCATTTTAGTAATATAATAAAATTATTCTTTGGCATAAAATTATTCGTAATGGTCGTGTGAAAAGTGGAGCTACCCGTAGTTTAGGTAAATTTTGTGTGAGTCCACGATGTTAGGCTTTGATTTCCACTTCAACCAGGTGAATTTTGCTTCAAAATAAAATTGCCTAGTGGTCTATTCGGCGTTGTGTGTTGTATGATGTCAAGAATTAATTGTAAATCTGATCAACCTCATGGTAATATTAGAATTATTTAAAACTAATAAAATCTTTACATTCTGGTACTGCATGAAAGCGTAAGGACCACATCGATCATTACTTAAAAAAAAACATCCATCTCATTGAATTTGCTCAATTTTTTGCTTCTCATTCTTTTTAAAAAAGTTAGTTTGAAAAAACAATTCTAAAAATATTTTGGCTGTATTTTACGCATATTTTAATTCAATTTTTGAACTGCTGCATAGTGGATATTTAAACTTTTTGGGCACACTGTGTCACTACTTTTCAGCTTTTGTATGATTTAGCAATGCCTACAAGTTATTTGCTTTATATAATTTATTTGAACATGTAATTCATAATCATTTTAGTACTTTAAATACATTCCAGATGATCATACTGATCGATTTTTACGGGAGATTTGCACATCACTTTGATTTCAATAGCATTATGTTATAAATAGGATTTTTTGGAGCTTTGCAGATTTTTCCAGATTTTATATTTTAACTGGTCCAGATTTGTTTGAAAATGACCTGGCAACGCTGGTCACTGCCGCAACAGGCAAAGGAACAAAAGGAAACGAAACAACAACGAACACGGTCGATGGTCTTAAATGTTCGGACGTAGGATTGCAAAGGAGCGAAATGAATTTCTTCACAAATTAATACCTTGTACAGACATACAAAGTTCACTGTTGTACTACCGTTGTACCATAGAGGTAACTCTAAGACCACTGGGTCCCGAAGAAAATCATTATTATTTTTGGCTCACTCAGTACCAGAACAACGGTCCCAAGCAGTCCCAAGCTATTTCACTCACCCCTGCATGTTCTGCATGAATCCACACACCCCTGAT